AGGACAGAACTATGCCTTCTTAGTTTTCAGCTATACTTCTTACATCTGGAACAGTGTTGAGCACATGACTGGGGCTTAATAAATGAATGAAACTGATTATCCCATTACATCTTTTTAATAATATATTGAAATAGACATAGCATGACTATATGCTTAAAATGTGTGGAGGGAGTGAAACACCTATTATTTGGATATGGCAGTGATATGTTTCTCTGTAAATGAACCTTAATTATAAGCAAGACACTATGAAATTCAAATTTATTGAGTCTCTGCCATCTCCACATAGTATAAAATGATGTGCACTTAATTTAACAATTAGCCAAGACTACACATATTACTGAGTAGAGAGTATTACTATGGAGACCATACTAAATAAGCAGCCAAACAAGTTGGTCTATAATGAGGTAAAGCTTTGCATAGTTCAGATAAAGTTCTGCAATGATATGCGAATCAACTCGATAAAGTTATACCTTACCATAGGTTAAAGTGGGAAGAAGAGAAAAATAATTTACTCCCTTCAATAGTTTTCTCCATTTAAATAGCAGTTCCAGTTTATTTCCCTTTTTCTGTCATTCTCTAAAAATTTGAAATAAAAATTCAGTAATATTTTATCTAATTTTTACATTAACTTTATTTTCCTGGGAACATAGAGGAAATTTATTATTTTAATCATCAAAAAGTTTTTTTTTCCTGTATTTTCTTCTTTGAAGAGGTTTTTCAAGTTCTAAACCTTTTGTTATTTCTCATATAATTCTTTCACATTCTCCCACAATATCCTGAAATGGTTATCCTTTCTCAAAGATGGTGAAAGTATTGCTCCTACTATGAAAATAAAGATTTTTTTTAAAGTCTAGTCTCATAGAAAGAATTAGCTGTATAGAAAGAATTAGTTTAACACTGTGGTAAAGAATTTTCAAACAGATATAAATTCAAAAATATGAAATCAACTTTGGTTAGCTTTATGTATAACAAATCAACTCAAAAATTTTTCAAGTAACAAATATTTTTGATATTTAGAAGTTTCTCCATCACAGCAAATAAAGCACTGGCAGCCAATATGTGTTTTTTAAAAACTATATAATATCCTACTTGCCTTTGAAACTTATTTTTTAATTACCAATTTTAATGTGAACAAGAAATGACGCATGGAGAACGTCTGGAAAATCTTTTACTTTGTTGCAAATGTCACACCAAGAAATAGAAAAGACACATAAAGTTCTAAGCTCTTTAATTTGTTGCAACTCTTACCTGTTCGATTCACTTAGTGGCCCAGTCATAGTCCAGCCATGTATTTTATTCATCTTTTCCCTATTTCAAACTGCTCCAGGTGAATTATTATAAGCCAACTCGCCTCTCAAGATCTACGATCAACTTTCAACATTTTTACTGGTTATCTTTCCCAAACTGGTAGCTATGCTTTAGTTTCATTAAATCAATCATCAGATAGTGCTGAAAAAGCAATCACAATGTTCTTCCATTTCAGTGTGTAGCTACCAATCTGTGACCTTATAGGCTGAAATAATTCTCCTTTATCTTTATTCCAAGAAATTAACATTTTCACAGATACCCTCTGGAAAGTAAACTCTTTGTTCCAATAAATAAAATATTTTTTGTTATGAATAGCAGGTATTCAGTTTCTGCCAATGTGTTTTTGAAGATATTTCTCCATAAAAAATCATATTCACTTTAAAATCCAGTAATTTCAAATATATTTCACTTTTTTCATTGTCTATAAATTTTTTCCCACTTAGAAACTCCTTGTGTTTAAAATATTTTGAATGGCCCTGGCTGGTTTGACTCAGTGGGTAGAGTGTTGGCCTGCAGACTGAAGGGTTCTGGGTTCGATTCCAGTCAAGGGCATATGCCCAGGTTGCAGGCTCAAATCCCCAGTGGGGGCATGCAGGAGGCAGCCTATCAATGATTCTCTATCATCGTTGATGTTTCTATCTCTCTCTCCCTCTCCTTTCCTCTCTGAAATCAATAAAACTATATTTAAAAAGAAAGAAAACAGGCATTGACCAAAAAAAATTATTCACTTAAAAAAAATGTTTTGAATGATTCTTCTTCACAGCCAAGTTTTTGTTAGCCATATAATGTGAAATGCCAACCACCAAAACTCTGTATATCATAATTCCTTCATTTTTCCTGATTGTCCCTGGTCTTTGTGTACTTTGCAGGTAAATGTTCACAAAAGAGTCTCTACATTATGCTGGTGACGGAAACAGCAACTAATGATTGATGATGATGTTGATTAAGTATAGTAATTGGTTTTCCACACTTGTTATTTCAATACCATTATTTGACTTGTCTGGGGAGTTTTAGAAATTTGTGTGCTATATCTATATATCTATATCTATATATCTATATCTATATATCTAAAAGCCTAAGTGACTGGCTGATTGGCCAATAGCTATAACACGCACTGACCACCAGGGGGAGATGATCAACACAGGACCTACCGAGCTGTGGTCACTTGGCAGCGGTGGTACTGCAGTGACGCACCCAGAACCAGAGAGGAGAGAGCCTGATTCTGGGGTGCGTCACCCAAAAACTGCCCTCTTGCAATCCGGGATCTCTGGGGGGGATGTCAGAGAGCCAGTTTCGGCCCAACCCCCGCAGGCCAGGCCGAGGGACCCCACTGGTGCATGAATCTGTGCACTGAGCCTCTAGTTTTTATATAATTTCAAAAAAAGTTTCCACAAAACAAACTATAACTGACCATACCCATAACACTGAATAGCTGAAAAATAAGAAATACTACACACCATAAAACATCAAAATAGAACAAAGTCTGTGCAGGTGGGTTGGCAGAAGACTAGCCTAACTGCTAAGTTACACCAAAGGCCTCATTGCTTTTTTTTGCACATTGGTTTTTTAAAATTCTTAAGAGTCACAAAACAACTGAACCATAATTTGATTTTACAGTTTAAAATGCCTCATTTCATGCTTAACAGTTCTATTTCAATCTTGAGTCCCCAAGGAAATTAGGAAATAAAGAGAAGAAATGTGTTCCCCTATCCTTCTTCTTCCAACAACCCTATATTTTTCTTAGAAGAAGTTAGACCTTAAGATTTTGTTCATTTAGTCACTCTTAGGTTGTTATATGGAAACTGTCCTGAAGTTTTAAACATACAGACTTTTGCCTTTGGAACACTTACTTTTTAAAAAAAAGTATGTTTTTATTGATTTTCAGAGAGGAAGGGAGAGTGAGAGAGAGAAACATCAATGATGAGAGAGAATCAATTATAGGCTGTCTTCTGCATACCCCCTACTGAGGATCAAGTCAGCAACCCAGTATATGCCCTTGACCAGAACTGAACCTGGGACCCTTCAGTCTGCAGGCCAACGCTCTATCCACTGAGCCAAACCCACTAGGGCTGAAACACTTTTTTAATTGATTTCAGAGAGGAAGGAAGAGAGACAGAAACATCAATGATGAGAGAGAATCATCGATCAGCTGCCTCCTGCACACCCCACGGGGGATTGAGCCCACAACCCAGGAATATGCCCTTGACCAGAATCGAACCCGAGACTCATCAGTCCACAGGCCGACACTCTATCCACTGAGCCAAACTGGCTAGGGCTGAAACACTTATTTTTAAAGGTACAGTAAGGCCTCTCATTTAGCTGACATTATCCAAAATGAAGAATCTTTTAATGAAAGCCAAATATCAATAAAAATAAATCTTGTTAAGTAAGAAACTGAAAGGTCTGAGATTTTACCTTACTTTCAACCTAACAAGTTAGGCTGCCTGTAAGATATATTTTAAACTCAAAAACATTAAAACTTTCTACCTTCTGGCCTGAGTTACTTTCCTGTTCTTTTCTCCCTCCCCAAGCCATGTTTACAGTATTTTTCCCCACATGATTATTTGTAATCATATGTGTTTACTGATTTTCCCTCTTCTACTAAACCCAAGTTCCAAGCATGCAGGAACCCTATCTATTTCATTCACACCTGTACATTCAGCACCTGTTATAAAACTGTCACATAGAAATCACTTAATAATCATGTTAAATGAAATTTAAATGTAATTTTTTCTACCTAAACTCTGACACATCCTATTCTGCATTGGTTCCCCACTCTTATCTTGAAACCTGTAGGAAGTCTCACCTGCTCACATGACCCAGATGGGCTCACATATCATCAATCTTTCCCTAAGTAATTTCCTACAAAATGTTTTTTCATTCTCACAACCCTGTATTTTTTTCTCCCATTAAATTAGGAAGAAACTAAAGCTTAGAGGGGTAAGAAATGCATGTAAAGTCATAATCCCAACGAGGCTAGGATGAAAATTAGGTGTCTCACTCCAAAGTCCCTATTCTTAATCCTCTTTTACACTGCATCCTTAGCTAAAATGATTCTCATATGATGTTATTTGATTCCAAGCCCAGTGCTGCCACATATTAACAGTGTAATATTGAGGACCTCAGATGCTGTACAAGTAAAATAGGGGTAATTGTAGCACTTATCTACAAATATAAAGGTTAAATGACATAATGAAAAGCACAATGCACAGTGCCGAGCACTTAACACAGAAAACACTCAAGAGATGTTCACTATGGTCATCATTATAATCCTCTAAACAGGTCAGCAAATTTTTTCTGGTAAAGGCCAAATAGCAAATAGTTTAGGCTTTGTGAATCATACGGTCTCTGCTGCAACAAAGCAGGCAGCACGCTGGATTTGGCTCAAGGTTCTCCAACTCCTTGGCACTACTCATATCTAAGGCTGGTTAATTCTTTGTTTGTTGTGTATGGCTGTCCTGTGCATTATAGGATGTTTAGAAGCATCCTTTGTCTACCCACCACATGCCAGTAGCAACCCCCAAGTTGGGACAACCAAAAATACTTCCTGGGGAGCAAAATCGCCTCAAGTTGAGCAATACTGCTCTACAGCAATCAAACATATAAAAATGTAGCTTGATTTTTTTTTTCTAATAATGAAAATACCTTAAGTGGAAAAAGAACTTAATTCATTAAAAAGTAATTATACTCACTTAGCTAAAATTCCCACACTTAGCAATAACTTTATAACTTCTGTGATACACACGGCTGTGGTTGAAAAGTAGAGTTCTTTGTCTGATGTCCTTGTGTATCTTAAAGCTATGGTATACGTTGCAGCCACCAGGGTCATCACTGTCAAGCAGTATAACTTGAATAATAAGCTGACATTTTCTGGAAAATATGTGCAACGAAGATATTATTTAGTAGACAATATCAATGTATATAAAAGTTAATCAACATTATACATCAAAATGCCTTCCAACTTCAAGCACAAAATAACTTTTTAAACCCATATTTAAAATTTACTTTAAAGCAATACTTTCCACTTATATGAACATAAACAAACACACATACACAGAACACAGTGAGTTTGAATATCAACTGGTTAAGCACTGATTTTGTTCCTGGGAATGCCTCAATTGCAAGACTGACTCTAGTTTGGGATGTTATAAATTACCTATCTATAATAATCTATATTAATAAAAGCATAATATGCTAATTAGACCGGACAACCTTCTGGACGAAGCCGCAGTGGCAGGGGCCGAGGCAGAGGCAGCCACCATGGTGGCGGGGGCCAACCCCCTTGCATGAATTTCGTGCATCGGGCCTCTAGTTTTATAATCTTTATAACTCAAACTTATGAAAACAATTATAGCAATTTATATCCTAAATTTAAAGACAGCAGAAAGAAAAACAAAAAGGACTGAGTGATAAAAATTGAGCTAAATATAAAATTTATCATATAATAAAAAAAACAAATCATGTAGCCTCTTGTTTCATAGCTTTATGCACAGAAAAATACTTCATAACTCAAAAGAATAGTATTAAGAATGAAGCCCTATAAAACTGGGAATGTTGGATATGTACAACTTATAAACACTCAATTTAAGAACTGCTTGCAAGTATATGTGCGCAGCAGCCATCACTCGGGCACCAGGGTGGGTCCAACAACCTCCATAAAGCCCAGGCACTGGGGTACCAGAGGTCTCCCTCACACTTCCCTCCTTACTCCCAGCCCTGCTCTGATCCTGCCACCACCCAAGGCTCAAACTATTTCTACTTTCTTTACAAACCTCCCACCTCTCATCCTTAACCTTTCAAAGCTTCAGGCTCAGGTTACACAAGGGTCAGCAACATTTTTCTGTAAAGCGCAAATAGTAAATATTTTAGGCTTCTCACCCTACCAGGCAAAATCACGAATAGCATGTAACATAAGAGAAAACAAATTTTTTGGCAAATTCAAAATATAACAATTGAGTACAATGCTTTATAATATATGTCTGCTATTGAGAACAGAATTATTTCGAGGGGTAACATTTTGCTTCATTGGTCTTCAGAATTACTGCTCCATCAAATCAATTGCAACTGTTCATCTGTAAAAACCATGGGCTGTACAAAACCAAGTGGCAGGCTGGATTTGGCCAGTGGGCCATAGTTTGGCAGCCGGATGAAGAATCAGTCACCCCTCTGGACAGGGGCGACCCTGGGCTGCTACTGTAACTACAATATGCACTAAGTATGCTTTTGTTCACTGCTTTGGGAGCCTAACCACAATTCAAAGATGGCTTTCATAGGGAAATAAACCAGGAGTTACATATGTGAGGCAGAAACCTTCAAGGTTACAGGTTCTTCAATATAAATATTTCCCTGGGGGCAATTAAAGAATTATTTGTAAATTATAGACAATTTTTAAAATTATATCAGTTATTAACTAAAAAGTAATGTGGTAGAACAAAAGAAATAGAGCTTATATCTGCCTAAACTTTCTTTCCAAAAGATCTGAGCCAAAAAGCAATGTTTATGTGAAGGGAAGTGAAGATCACTACAATACTTCCTGTGTTTTAAAACTTTCCCTAATCAAGGGAAAAGTATATAACTGCAAAAATAAACAGCAATAACCTTTAGTTACTCAATAAATGAGAAAGCACTTCCCATCTTCTAGATTAGGGGTGAGCAAACTACATCTCATCTCTCATTGTTATACAGCCTGCAAGTTCAGAGCAATAGTTAAAAAAAAATTTTTAAATAATCTTTTGTGACACAAAAATTATATAAAATTCAAATTCCATATCCATAAATGACTCACTATTGGAACACAGCCATGCTCATTTGTTCCCACTTTTTTTTTTTTTTATTGATTTCAGAGAGGAAGGGAGAGGGGGAGAGAGAGATAGAAACATCGATGAGAGAGAATCATTGATCAACTGCCTCCTGCATGCCTCCTACTAGGAATCAAGCCTAAAACTGGGGCATGGGCCCTTGACCAGACTAGAACCCAGGACCCTTTAGTCCGAAGGCTGACGCTCTATCCACTGAGCCAAACCGAATAGGGCTGGTCCCACATTTTTGCCCTGCAATGGCAGCGTTGACTAGTAATGACATCCAGTCCTTTACAGGAAAAAAATTGCCAACCCATGTCCTAGAATAGATTATCAATTCTTCCATAAATAACAGAGGTTGGGACTGCCAAACTGAAAACTATCCCAAAAGCAACATAGTGAATGCTTGAACACAAAGCCAAATATTTATAGCCTACAAGTATAATGAGACCTACAGTTATCATTGCCATCAACTGTGAAAGTATACCTATTTGCACATTTATATAGGAATATATATGACATTCTTGAAAATAACTACTGCTCTAAATGGAAGAGCGAACAATTCAGACATTTATAAAACATATAGGGCTTGGTATGGAATACTTAAAAACATAAACTTTAAATAAATACTTAATGCTTTTAAGCATTATTTTCTCTCATTTCAGTTTAACATTGGATCAAAATAGTTCTTCACTCCATTCACAAATTCTCCAGTATGGAATTTCAATTACTAGCAATTTCAGATTTTCAAGGTAAAAATCAAAAGTTCATGTCATGTACTCGCTGTAAATTCTGCTAAGTATTCGCACTGTGCCCAAGGCCTGTAACTATAAACCTAGCCCACAACTCACTGGGTTGGCACACTGGCACATTAGCAAATCTGCATTGGTTTCCGTTTCCCAAAGTTCCCATTCGCTCCCTCACATTATTTGTTTCTGTGTAGACTAATGTTCCCCAAAAGAAATGTACGGTTTGAAGTGGTTTTTGTTTTTGTTTTGTTATATTTTACTATATTTTAGAGTGGGGATTATTTTTAATGCCTGAGAACTTGGAAGTTCTAGCAAGTTCCAGATAAATCTTTGGGAATATCCGGAAGCTATAGCAACTGCTTTTCTGTTAGGATTACATGTTTCTAGATTGCATAAGAGATCTATAACATGACCAAGGCACACGAATATGTACTAGCAATAACCTAACCAGTAAAATGTTACAACTATTTCAGATAATGACCTGGATTCCTTTAAGTTTCACTCATTACTCTTGCTGTTCCCATCCTGTTAATTATCAAAACAATTCTGTCTTTCTCCCTTTGTTTCCTGTGCTGTGCTGTTTGTTTTTAAGGCTCTTAAGGTTGGACTGACTTGAAATGGGAACATGCATAAAAGCAGCATAAGGAACTACAGACAGTCATCCTGGGCAGGGCTTAAATGATAAATGCGGGCTCCCCAACCAGGAAACGCATTTGGCACCCATGCAAAGGTACTCTTTAAATATTTGTTCGACATGTACTCAGAGATGAAGCCAAGTGCTCTATGGGGAAGGGTGTCACCCGACCCGTCCCGGCCACCGCTCGACCGCCCTAACTCACCCCACAGCAAAGCGGGAAAGCGGCGGAGTTCCTCCCACTCACCCTCAGGAGGCGGCCATCAGTCACTCAACAGCACCAGACGGGCCGTTCCTTCGGAGAGTGGGTCACCGCACCTTCCACCCACACACCCGGTCCCTTTAAGCACCCGCAGCACTGTCCTCGGACACCGCTCTCCCCGCGCCCGGCGGGGTCAGCGCCTTAACGCCCAGGGACCTTCCCGCCGGCTGCTACGGGAA